GCACTGTTTCCAGAATGTAAACAGTACCCGGAGAATAAGTATGGAGTGCATTCAGGTAGCAAGAAAGTTCTTGGTATGACTCCTCCCAGTTTCCATATACCTTTTCAATCGCCTTGGTCTTTTCTAACCACGCCTTTCGGTAAGACAGAGTATAGTTAAATACCGTGGTGATGTGGAAGATTATGGTTTTCACCTTCAATGATGGATCGTTGCTGACGAGTGGTAGGATTTCTTGACAAATGAGATCATAATTAAGCTTTCGATGATCCTGTGATTCAGTAGAACTGACACAAGTGTGGATAGACATGGAACCTATGACCCAACAATCACCTCTTAATTTGTATGATGCAGTGAGCTTGAACATACAATCAGGGTGGACACACTTGATCTTGTACCTTTCTGGATTTACACGGTCCACCTTAAAATCGACTGAGTTAAGCATGTGAAATTTTTTGATGGCTCTGATACATTCTTCTCTGTTACGAAATTTGTCTTTCTCTTTTAAGTTTTCATCCGAATGCATATACGGATTGAAAAATAAATCAGAAGACGGTTATCTCCGCCCATGTTGAAGTTTGTCATGTGCGGAGGTGGTGTGTAGATCTCGTTTGCAGGAATACCAGGTATCCCATCGTCTTCGGAATCATCATTGACCATTTCTTCAAACTCAAACTCGTCATCTTCCTCTTCTTCATCAACGGCATCTACTTCTGCTTGTTCGGTCTCCAAAGGATCAACCACTTGTGACAGCTAAGGCTCCCGCAACATAATGTACAACTCAATGGAGTCGTACCCAGAATACTCATGACTGGAAAACATATTCTGAAGGTCCTCGTCATCTTGAACCTCAACCTTATAAAATATTATTTAGTTGTTACCAAAAAAAACCGGATTCTGATAAAATATTTGTGTCACGGGGCCTCGTCCAAGTTTGGCCTCCAAACATTTTTTGAAGTATAAGAAATTGGCTTTCCTGTTTAAACAAAATCGGATGTTCTCAGTGTCTCTAAACAAAAACCCAGAGGTGGGACAAATGTATGTCTCACCGTTGAAATGTGCACTGGTCACATATTGGGGTGCAGAGGCCATTGTGTATGACTGTTTGAAGGTTTGAAGGTTCGAAGGTTTGAAGTTTATGAGTTAATTGCTGGAATTTTTGAATGTTCTAGTGTTTGAGAGATTAAGTGTATGATTGTTTTGATAAATGTAATATTAAATAGGTTGTACTGAATTTGAATTAACCAACATGGATGCAGAGATGCCTTCTCCAAGGTTGTCACCTAGTCTGCGCCTACACTGCAACCTCTAAGGCGCCTCCCATCACATCCAATAGTGTTACATGCATTCAAAGATGCCTTCTCCAAGGTTGTCATGTAGCGTGCGCCTACACTGCAACCCATGCCACCTCTTATTCTCCAACATGGATGGCGACACCTTTCATTTTTGTACTCTTTCGCCAAGTCCAATGGTGCCTCCCTTCATGTCCAATCGTGTTACATGCATGCAGAGATGCCTTCTCCAAGGCTGTCACATAGCATGCGCCTACACTGTAACCCATGCCACCTCTTATTCGCCAACAGGGATGGCGACACCTTTCATTTTTGTACTCTTTCGCCAAGTCCAATGGCGCCTCCCTTCATGTCCAATCGTGTTACATGCATGCAGGGATGCCTTCTCCAAGGTTGTCACCTAGTCTGCGCCTACATTGCACCTACACTGCAACCTTTAAGGCGCCTTCCATCATGTCCAATAGTGTTACATGCATTCAGAGATGTCTTCTCCAAGGCTGTCACCTAGCCTGCGCCTACACTACAACCCATGCCACCTCTTATTCGCCAACAGGAATGGCGACACCTTTCATTTTTGTACTCTTTCGCCGAGTCGAATGGCGCCTCCCTTCATGTCCAATGGTGTTACATGCATGCAGGGATGTCTTCTCCAAGGCTGTCACCTAGTCTGCACCTACACTGCAACCTCTAAGGCGCCTCCCATCACGTCCAATAGTGTTACATGCATTCAGAGATGCCTTCTCCAAGGCTGTCACCTAGCCTGCGCCTATACTGCAACCCATGCCACCTCTTATTCGCCAACAAGGATGGCGACACCTTTCATTTTTGTACTCTTTCTCCAAGTCCAATGGCGCCTCCCTTCATGTTCAATCATGTTACATGCATGCAAGGATGCATTCTCCAAGGCTGCCACGTAGCCTGCACCTACACTGCAAGAGTGACACTTATCATGCATGCATGTACCCACCTACCACCTCACTTACTCTATGAATTTTTTTGCCTATAAATACAGAGCATTACATACTTCTCTCGCATCCACAATCGTCACACTCTCTGCTACAAACTCTTTCATAATCTCTTAGAATTTCAAACTCTTTCATAATATCAGGCATTTTCAACAATGGCTCTTCTCACAATGGGCGATTCTCACAGAGGCACAAGGGACAACATTGCAGCATTTGTAAGTTTCTTTTATACTTATACGTTTTTCATACTTCTAGTAATGCTTTGTTCATCTTACTTACCTACTCTTACACCTTTTACATTATTAACTTAGGATACTAAAAGATTTAGAATCCGGTCACACAACTACCTTGCTCCCGACCTGTTGATCATACCATATCTCGATTATGCAAGTTTCGGAAACGTTATAAAGATCTCCAACTGCACAATTGATTCAAAGTTCATACTTGCAATGTTGGAAAGGTGGAGACCAGAGACCCATACATTTCATCTACCAATAGGTGAATGTACCGTCACACTAGAGGACGTGTACATGTTATTGGGTCTCCCTGTCGACGGTAAGGCGGTTAACGGGTCGGTTCAACAACTCAATTCTCTGTGTGAAGAATTGTTGGGCAGGGATATGGTTGAAGGTGGTGGTTCGAGAGGTCAGGGTATACTACTAACTAAGCTAAAAAATCATTATGCGACTCTGGAATTGAACGAAAATTTCTCCGAGCTAGCTAAGGTAATAAAAGCTAGAACTTATATAATGATACTATTTGGAACCTTTTTATTTCCCGAAAGTACGGGAAATATTGTAAATTTTATGTATTTAAATTTACTTAGAGACTTCAAAAAAACTAGAAAGTATAGTTGGGGTTCTGTTGTTTTATCCCATCTATACAGTTCCTTGTGTAAAAATGCAATCAAGAAAAATATACATTTTATGGCTGCGCTTTTTTACTTCAAGTTTGGGGTTGGTGGAGGATGGAGTCCCTAAACCCCGTCAACAATTACACATTCGTTTTCCCATACGCAACAAAGTAAGTCATCAAGTTATATCATTTATTACTATTCATCTCTTCACCAAATATATGATAAAAATAAAATATTTTTCATTTCCTTTAGGTATTGCGTGAGGGGTATGGATTATGGCAAGAATCCAAGATTCAATGTCGCACTATACCGCAATCTATTGGATCACCTTGGTCCGGATGATGTACGTCGTACCTTTCAACTTTTCTACTTTTAAATTATTTATATATTACATTTTCATTAACCTGATTTAATTTTATCTGCAGTTTGTCTAGAGACCATATTTGGGTTTAGGCCATGAACCAAACCCCGAGGATGCAGCAATTTGGAGCGCAAAGACTGCAATCATACGGTTCAATATTATGGAGATGCACCACAACGACCGTGTAAAGATGCAGTTTGGAATGCATCAAGAGATACCCAGCGATCCGACTTGTTTGTCCCGGTGGCATCTCAAAAGGGTCGACGCCCAATGGAGTCTTACCAACTGGAAAGACTTTGCTCCAAAATGGTGTAAGATGTGGCAGAGGCATCACCGACATGTCTTGCAATTCCCAGTTTTCCTCAACCATGGTAATATGCGACACACAGATCAATATTTATCTTGGTACAGATCGGTTAGTACCCCTGAAATACACGTGTCTCATCCAAGGTATTTTGTTGACCCACAAACACAATGGGCACAACCCTCATTTCCCCAACAACAAACCCAACACACATCAACCTCTCACCAACCCCCCCGACAAAACAGAACCACAAACACCCAACCACAGTCACCACCACAATACAATTACACCCACATGCCCCACAACCAACCACAATCACCACCTCAGTACCAATACCCCCATATGCCTCACACTCAACCACAATTTCAATCACAATACCAACACACCCGCATACCCCATACACAATTTCAGTCTTCTGCATATCTCAATATGGGCCCCTCAACATCCAACCTTAGCCCTAATCTGGGATTGTCCGAAGATTATGAACCAACCGACCCAACTTACCATCAACCACAACATCACCAAACCACCCAACATCCTCAATACCAAACACCCCAAGATCCATTTCTTTTCTACCCCCCGTACTCAAGCGACAGTGCTACAGACCAACAATGGAACCCCACCCACCACCAACATGACCAAACTTTGAGGGTATGGGTAACCGACTGTACCAAAGAGGATCTTCTAGATATAGAGATCTGACTGATTTCATGGATCTGAAACGCATTGACTTCGCTGGGCCATCGATCCTTCCACAGCAGGAAACGCGACGAAACCCAGCACGAGAAAGGCGAGGACAGGGATGCGGAACCGGGGGTCATTACCGGGTTCCGAGAGACCACTGATTAATCTGTTTTTTTATGTAATAGTTATGTGTGTAATCATATTTTGTAAATAAAAAGTCAATTTTGTTGGTCCTATATCGAATACGTAACGCACCGCATTTAAAATAAAAAACGCGAAAATTTGCGTTGCAATTACACTAAGGCATCATCTCACTTGACTTAAGGCAATGCTTTAACACCTAGGCGCCAAGTGAGATGGCGCCTCCCCTTAAAAATTAGGTGTAGGCGCCAAGTGAGATGGCTCCTCCCTTGGAGAGTTTTCTAAAACATGATTATTTGCGTAATTTTTTCCGAAACATGGTTATTTGCGATTTTTTTTAATACATTGTTATTCCAAAAAAAAAATTCGGCAACGCGATGAAAATAATATTTACATAAACTGAATTTATTAACATATTATGTACAAGTATTATGTACAAGTATATATTTACAGTACCAAATATTAAATCAGAATAGTAAAATACAAAAAAGAGGTAAAGGGAGAAGTGTAGGAATTATGGACGCGCTATACGGAAATGAATACTTGAAACGATTTTTTTTAGAAACCTTCACAGTAACAAACGCGTTAGTAGCATAAGCGGTATAAAAATAAAATGAAGGAAATTGCAATGATTAAAACATGTGTTAGTAAATATAAAATCAAAAATGAAATCACAAAATAAAGAATTGAAATGAAATTGCATGAATGCACATGAGCAAATGAATATTTACACAAATCAAGATCAAGAACTCATGAGAAAAATCAAACTTAAATCAAGCATTATCAAAAGTTGGACATCAACAAATTATGCATAAAAACTCATGAAAATCAATTTCCAATTGATTCCAACCTTGTGTACAAACACCAATATTAAACCAATAAACTTTGTGAATCAAGTTCAATTGAAACATTATCAAAACCACTTTTAAAACGATTCAAACAACAAAACAAAATCGACACTAATGCACAAGTATGAACAACCGATGGTGTTTCAATTAAATTCAAAAGGTGAACAAAACAAGAACTAAACAATCAATTATTCAATTATTTTAATTCACAAACAAAACTATCACCAAAGAACTCATTCCAATATTCAATTCTAACTTCAGACATGAAAAATTGATCTCAATTCAAGAATTATTCAAATAAATCAAATTCGGGCAACATAACTGTAACAAATTCTTCATCACGATTTAACATGAACAAACCAGAATTTTTTTGATACAAGCTTTATCATGAAACAAATAAATTATCAACACTAAATTCAATAATATCTATCCATAATTTCATCACACTAACAAATAAACGCATCACCAATTTATTTTTCAAAACAGTCCGACAAATCGCGATATCAACATAATAACAAACCAAATTTATCAACAACTTTTTTTCTTTATCACATTTGCAGCAATTCCATAAATTAATCTCAATCAAAAGTAAGAATATAGAAACTACCAACTTGACAGAGAAGTGTTATTGCTGAACGGAAAGTGTCGAAGTCGCAGGTGCGATACGATGCCGACTGAGGTGGTACCGGCTGGAGCAACGCTTGCGGAATGTTGTTGGTGCTGATGTAGTTGCAGTTACGGTGGGTAATGTTAGTGTTGAAGATGAACAGCGATCGGTGCTGATGTACGACGAGTGTGACGGTATGGAATTGGCCGGAATTGGAAGCTAGCGAAATTGAGATATTTGCGAAAACAGGTGAGAAGTTGTCTTAAAATTGCTTGCGGAATTGGAGGCTAGGGAGATGGAAGCAGAGTTATAGTGGCGAGAGAGGAAATGAAGGTTGGTGGATTGATGGGTTAAGAGGAAGGAGGTTGGGTTACAGTGGAAATTGAAGATGATTAGGGGTTACTGTGAAGCGAGGGAGATGGAGAGATAAGAAGTAAGCTAGCTATTGAATTGAAGAGAGGAATACTGTGTATTGTTTTTGTGTTGTTAATTACAAAGAGAATAAGGCTCTTAAATAGGACAATGAAGAGGAAAATTTTTATTTCAAATTTAATCATGTTGCTTTTTTTTCAATTTCATTGGCATAACCTCTGTTAACAACCAATAGAAATCAAATATAATGTAATAAACATTATTTTGCCCTTTTAATAACAACAATAAAATAAAAACCTGAAAGTATTAAAATTAACTCAATTTAAAATAATTTTTTTGAGTTTTTTCTGAATAAAAAATAAAGACTCAAAATGACTAAAAACGATAAAAAAATGGACGAAAATTTATCCATAAAAATAAAATAAACACATTAAAATAAACTACATGTCACAAAGATTAAAGAAAAAATATTCAAAAAGTCAAAATCGGAATAAAATAAAATTAAAAATATCAGGCTAAACAGACGTTTACGATTAAAAACGAGACTTCAAACTGTACCGAAAAAATAAAGCGAACATACCGTCATAATCTACACGAAACGCAGATTAATAAAATGATCGATAAAAGGTGAAAACCTGAAATATTTTTCTCGCTAATTTTCGCAGTGTCGAATCGCTTTTAACAATCTGTCTGTAAAACTAAAATATTTTTATTATTGACACAAACAACTTGGAGCGATGCAAGAAACAAGTAGACAGATAAAAATGTATGAAGTGAAATGTCGGGTATTTTTCAACTACAGAATGATACAAATGTCGATTTAAACTGACTTTTGGTCAACTTAAACACAATTAAATGATACAAATGTGATGAATGAAGCTATTTATTAATGATTGTGACCAAATGACAAAATATGATATGAAAATGCGACTAAAAAAATTAGGGGCGAAATTTAGGGTACAACAACTGTTAGATTAAATAGGCATGCATGGCAAGACTTAAAAACAAACGTTGGATAACCTAACCTCAAAATAAATAACTGAAAACAACACACTTCACACACGCGCATCTCTAAGGTACATCCACTTGTTGCCTTCGGAAAATAAACAGTCACGTCTCTCGAACGTGAGAAATTTTAGCAAAGACCTTTTGGTCAAAAGACCATAGTCCCTCGATGATCCTTCGATGTTACCTCGGTAAATGATCTTGATACCTTAGGGTAATTGCTAAAACATCTTATGAGTTGCCTACGTGACTGTACGATGACTCTCGCATGTCCCTCAAAACATCCAATGATAGGGCTACCTACTAACTAATGGTAGGATAGCACTATCTAAAAGGAAAGAGGAAAAGAACAAAGATATTTCGAGTTGGTAGAAAGCTTGTAGTTGCTTGCTCACAAAACAGAAAAAACAAATTTCTCACACATACACACCCTTTTCTAAATATTTTTCAAAGACAAAAAAACACTTTGTATGCATTCTCAACTATACGAGAATCATTACAAAGTTTGTCACACTAAGGCTTTTTTTTTCAAAATATTTTCAAAACACACTTACACAAAAAAAACATTTTCAGAGTGAGTTAGCAACTAAGAGCCCGTAGATAACTACGGATGGAAAGGGTGCTAATACCTTCCCTTTCCATAACCTACCCCCGAACTCAAAATCTTTAAAAAAGTTTTTCCTGTTCTTTTCACCTTTTCCTTTGTTAGATAAAAGAAAAGTCGGTGGCGACTCTTGCTAACTGCAACAATTACGATAAAACGCAAAACCAGTAAAGTCAACTCTCCTACTATATTACAATTAGCCATGATTTTTAAAATGATTTTGTATATAATGGAACAACAAGATATAGGTCTGAAATCTTTGACCATGGAAACATTAGGTGTTTTGGGGATGATGGTGACTAAGGTGCAATTGATAGCTTTAAGCATTCTCTCTTTAACAACATTGATCACATCTTTGTTAACTACTTCCCAAGATGCTTTAAATAATTTAACTCCATACCCATCCATTCCAGGAGTAGTAATATCACTAATGCTGAAAAGAGCAGCCTTAATTTCTTCAATTGTAACAGGAGCAGTCAACATGAGCCCTTGTTCCACCAAGATTTGTCTTCCTTTTCCTATAGCTACAATATTGATACCATTTAGGTTGGTGGCAGCAGTACCCAATAATTGCCTATATAAATCCATAATTTCTCTCTCAAACTCATCCTACTTATATAAAGTAGTTCCATCAGCTCTGCCTGAATTAACTCATGAGAGAGGCATAAAAGTACCTATTGTTTCAATCACCAAAGTTCAACCGAACTTTAGATCTTTGCTTAAGAATGTTTTCTTCAATATTACTCAACCTCAAAATCCAGTAGTGTAGGCTTTGGATCTATCAATAATTTCTTCATTCAATTTATCCCTTATGAGCTCATTTTGAGTAGCAGTCAGAATTTCTCTAGCTTTGTCAATATGGGATTTAATACTTTTGTAGGGAAAGCCAAGCTTCTTTATAGTGGTTTTTAATTTGAACAACTTTCTCCACAACACAAACATAACATTGCCAATCATAACTTGATTCCAATCATGTCTTACTGATTCCAGAAAGCTAGTGACGATGTTCTGGAATTTAAAGTAGTGTCTTTTAGGAGTGGTCGAGACCTTCCCCTCAAGGCAGAGGGAGAGCATGATCAAATACCCCATCATCCATGATCTTCAACACAGTATTCATGTTCTTAGTATGCCATTCCAAGTTCCCCACCATTCTGTCAATTCTAGAATAAATAGGGTTTTTTGAATGTTTATTAAACCATGTATAGTGGTCACCCTCACTATCATTCTCTACTAAGCCATTTGCTTTCATTATGGTGTTGAGGTCTATAAACTCAGCTTTAGTGACTTTACTACCACCTATTTTATCCTGATATTGGCAAACATTATTAAAATCATCCATAATGAACCAAGCTCCATTAAGAGTTAAGTTAATTTTCTCTATATCCTTCCAAAGTATTCTTCTTTGGTCCAAGCTATTCAAAGCATATACTGCAGTACAACAAATATAATTCCCATTAGGTTACTCAAGCCCGCAATGGATGAATTGGTCAGAGCAAGACAAGAACTCAACCTTCAGCTTATCCTCATCCCACATGATCCATACTCTATCATTGTTGTGATGAGAGTAATTATCAATAAACTTCCAATTGCACCCCATTTTCTTCCTAATATTCTGAGCTTTTATGGATTTGACTCTAGTTTCCACTAAGATGACCACACCAGGCTGCATGCTCTTGAGATGGGAGAAAGTTTCATTACACTTTCCTGCATTGTAAATCCCCCTAACATTCTAAGAGATAATCATACCCCTAAGGGGTTACTTGTACCAGGGTCATTCCATAGTCCTAAAGACTCAAATCCATTATGATAGTTAATTACAATAATAGTTTCCAGCTTAGTGGTTTCAGTAATAGATTTACCTTTGTGTTTCCTAGTATTAATCACTTGGGTCCATGCTGAGTTAGGTGTGTCTGGTTTTTTTTTTTTGGTGTTCTAACTTCAGTTTCTTGTTGAACTGGTGGTGTTTTATCCTCCTTTGTAACAGCTCGGGCCCTTCGTAAGGAAATCTCGGCACTGCCATCTCACGATCTTCTCTACCCCTCTTTAGTAGAGTTTTTTCCTTTCGTGGGGTTGGGATAGAGAGTTTTTGACTTGAAGTAGTATTGAGATGGACGACCTTCTAGGAAGTTTCCCGTAAAGCGTGCGAGTGAGGTCAAAGCAT